TCAGGATGGTTTCATCATCCGTATCCGATTGAGTAGCCGGCTTCTTTGGGGGTGGTCCTTTAACTTGTTTGGGAGCACCCTTTGACTTGGATAGGTATTGCTTGAGAGCCCCCTCGTCAGCCAGCCGGTCAAAGAGTCGCCTGAGGCTAAAGCAACCCTCGGTGTCATGGCCAATTTCCTCATGGAAAAGGCAATATTTGCTCTTATCCCGGGCGCTCAAGGGACTCTTCATAGGAGCCGGCTTTTCAAGATTCAACCGGTCTTTTTCTTCGTTGAGAATGGAGGCACAGTCCCTATTGAACTCGTACTTGGGCACATACGGATCCGACCTCTTTCTTTTCTGGAGAGGTTGTCCGGATGAGTCTGTCGCCCATACCCCCTTTCTCTTATCTTCTTTTTTGGCCGACTGGGTAGGCCGACTATCTTTTTTATCGGATCTTTTGTAATCCGTTGGAAGTTTCACAGCACACAATTCCATTGCCTGAATGTAGGCCTCCGCCTTCATGAGCGCCTCGTGAAGAGTAGAGACCCTCTTCCTAACCAAGTCAAACTTAAAAGTTGATCCGTCTTTTAAGCCTTTAAAGAAATCGGTATAGGCAACGTCATCAGACAATCCATGAATTTGGATCCTCATCAGGTTAAACCGCCTGACATATGACCGGAGCCCCTCTTTATCTCCCTGCTGGATTGCCCCTAGATCTAGGCTTGTTTTCTTGGCCGGGATGTTCATAGAAAAGTTGGACGTAAACCAGTAGGCCAAGGTCCTGAAATTATTGATGCATCCGGCTGGGAGGTTACCAAACCAACGTTGAGCAATCCTTTTCAACGTTGCCGGGAAGCATCTGCACCATGAGGCGTCATCCAAACCCTGCAAATACATCAGGTTGGTGTATGCCATGAGGTGATCTTCCGGGTTGGTGGTACCGTCATAGGTACCTACTAACACGTTCTTGATCTTAGCCGGCTGGGTCATCTCGGTGATTTCTCTGGAAAACGCCGTTGGCTGTTCCCCAAGGTTGAGCAGCCGGAGCTGCCAGTCCGCAGGCTGGAGAGGCGGCTGCTGATACCCCCCGAAAAGACCCGGTTGGGCGTAAGGAGATCCAAAAGGCGTGTGTGGAGCTCCATGCAATGCCGGTTGGATCATATGCAGGCCGGATCGAGCGGAAACCTCGCCCGTCCGGCTGTCATTATTTGTTCTCGAGTGTCTCCCTGATGTGGCATTGAAGCTGTCTCGAAAGGTTGACGTAGATGCTGACTCGGAGCGCTGCTGTGTCTTATCTTGAATTAGCGTCCGGGCATCAGAATAAACCTTCTTGGTTCCATCCAGCTGAATGTGCCGGACGGGCTTTCTGACTCCATCTACGGGAGTGCGTATCTTTGAGAAATCAAAGGGCCTAGCCGGCATGTTTGACTTCGGATGCGGGGTAGATGCTTTACCCTTGACTGTTTTAGCTGTCTTTTTTCCCAGACGCCTTTCTTCCGCCTGACCCTTGCGGGGGCCGGCTGTATTGCCCAGAAGGCCTCTGATCTCTCCTTTGAAGCTCACCATCATACTCTTGAGTTCATCTCTGGAGACTGGGGTGGCTCCCTCTGAAGCAGGAGTCAACCCAAGCGGTCCCCTAGTAGGATGATTTGGGCCTGCCTGCTGCTCTGCTCGTTCCCTCTTGTCTTTGGAACGAGTATGCTTTGTTCTGAAGGAACCATCGGCAGCCGTGTAGGCTTCAATTTCATGATTGCCGGATGTGTCTTGGTCCGAGTGGACCTCAGCCTCACCGGCAGGCTGACTACTTTTACCCGACTGTACCGGTTCTGAAGTCATCTAGCAAGTACTCTCCCCACAGACGGCGCCAGATGTTTGGGGGTTTTTGATGTGTCCTACGGGAGAGTTACAATTTCCTAGTATGCTCCTTCCTTCGCCGGTACCTGCACAAAGAACGGAATACTCCGGCTGGGGCTGGGGTGTTCCGCCTCCGAAGATTAAGTTAGTCTCTTTCTAAATGTGGAAATAAGACAATAAATGCTTCTCGATTTGAGAGCGTTTGCAAGGGAATTTGTGTTTTGTTGGTTTTTGGAAGATGATTCGATGGATCGATCCCCATTAATGAGGTCTGCCCTTACTATTTATAGTAGGGAGAACTGTACCTCAATTAGGGTTTAATGACACGTGTCGCAAAGGAATTGAGCCTTTTGCTGACCGTTGCAAGCTTGACACGTGGCAGGCCTTTATTGGGCCACGTGGCTTAGGGTTATTTTTACCCTAAACACCAGCCATCTCCCAACATGTGAATCACACGCACCTAGCCTAACCTAGATCGATCAACCCATATACACCATCCCAAGTAGAACTAAAACTCATCCCAAGTCGGATGAGCTCGAGTCAACCCATATACATCATCTGATCAACTTATTAACTTAGCCAGGAAGAATGGCTTAGGTCATTCTTGTGTCAGAATTTTACAACCTAACCTAGATCGATCAATCCACTCACCAATCAACTCCATCTACTTAATAATATCAAAATACTACGAATAATTGTCTCAAGTACTAAATAGTTGCACCGGCCATTTTTTTAGGGTCAAACTTATCAATCTTTGACCGTAAATTTTTACTTGTATACAAGAGAAAAAAACGTTGTCAAATGAGAATTATTGGAAGCATAGTGGATCAATAAGATAAGCATCTTAAAATAATATTTACTACCTTCGATTTTTATTATTTACAACTTTGGGATTGTGAGATACGTAGTATAAAATATTCCAAAGTTGCAAATTATAAAAATCGGAGGTAGTATTTAAAATCTAGAATTAAAATATTTTATTGTCTAATTAGTCTTGCCACAAAGTCTTATATGTGGCTGGCCATACCGTGGAATGAGGGTTACTTGGTCAGTATTAAAAGGGTTACTTCGTCCTTGTTATAGAGTTACTCGGTTAGTGTTATAGGGGTTACTTTGTTAGTGTAATGGGGGTTACTTGGTCGATATTAAAGGGATTAATTCGTATTTGTTATAGAGTTACTCAATCAGTGTTATAGGATTACTTTGTTAGTGTAATGGGGGTTACTTGGTCAGTATTAAAGGGATTAATTCGTATTTGTTATAGAGTTACTCAATCACTGCTATAGGGGTTACTCGATTGGTATTATAGGGGTTACTTAACCAATATTATAGGGTTACTTTAAATGGCCGCACACAAGACGTGCTATAGTCTTGCATATGTGGTAAAAAAATTACTTTGCCTTTAATTTCCAACCAAAAAAAAAAAAAAAAAAGCAACCTTTTCAGACGTGCACATCAATTTACAATGGAATATTGTTACACATTTACATTTGCTCTCACTAAATTGAGTATGTGTTCATCCTAAAATAGATCTCTCATATATGATGACACTATTACTAATTCTGTTTAAACAAAATAAAGTAATGCTGGTGACTTGTTTACTTAGTCGTAAATGGTTGTTAGTTTTGATGATTTAAAATTTAATATTTCTATGTAGTGACTTTAATTAAAATGAAAATATACTATGAGTACATTAATAATATATACTCCGTAGACAATGGCGGAGCCAGGATTTGTAATCCGGGGGACAAATTTCGAACGTTTAATAAATCGGCAAAAATTTTAAGGAAAAAAATAATCAGATCACATAAATTGTTTATTATATATTTGAAATTGCATATGAAATATGACAACTATAAACGAAGTATATACATTTTTAGGACAAAAAATTTATTCTTTTATGGCAAAAGAGGAGCTGTTAATAGTTTCATTGCATATCAATAAAATTATCAACGAGCAAAATAATTTTTTGTTGGTGAATCCCCAATTTTAAGTTATGTAATCCTCAATAATTGATAAATACGATTTATCAAATAAAAAGCATTTAAACAAATTGATACTAGATATAAAGGGATTTGGGTTACATTCGAAAAAAAAAAGAAAAAAAAACCATTAACACGACTTTATTTGACTAATATACTATATATAATGGGATTTGGGTTACATTCGGAAATAAAAAAAATACAACTTTCTTTTAGTAATGAATTTATTACAATTTGTTATGTAAATAAAAACTTTGAGACCTAGTTCCAAACAATTAATAAAAATTAAAAATAAAATTTAGGCACACATAATAAAAGAGATAAAAAAAACGAAGATATGTATTCATAACAAATTGATGAATAACACATTAGTAATCATTATCAACATTTAAGGCGGCACTTGATTAAAATTTTACAAGAAAAAGAAGTTTAATGGGAAAAAAAAAATTAAAAAAATGCATGGACAAAGAATCAAACCCTTGATCAAAAGGAGACATAAGCCTTACTCAAAGTACAATAACCAACAAGCCATATTTAACCTTTATGATATAAATGCTTTATGTAATGTATTTATTCTATTTACTGTATCTGGTTAAGCTAACATTTTTTTTTTGGAAAATGGGGGGGGGGGGGGGGGGACAACTGTCCCCCATGCTCTAACGTGGCTCCGCCACTGTCTGTAAATGTGTATGTTCATCCTATAGTAAAGTTAAATTTGGTTAGTTTTATTTTTAAAGGATACTTAAATTGATAGGAAAATGATGAATTTTCAAAAACAAAAATTTGATCTAACTATGACTAATATGAGGAAACGCTGATAGTAAATGCGGTAATGAAATTATAAAATTATACAAAATTATAGGATAAAACAATGTTTATTGTGTCATCATTAGAAGTATGTATTAATAAGTCGACTTTTAAATTGTGTTATAATTTATTAAAATGAATGTTGTTGCACTTCCATTATAATTTGGTCTGACTTAAGTATATATGATGACACTATTACGATCCTATTACAAGAAATAATTATACAATATTATTATGTTATATCCTAACACCATACTCTAATTTCTCTTATATAATTCATAAAATGGAGGATATTGATATCAACATCTCTTCATAAAATTTCCACTACAACAAAATTAAGAAGAGGGAGGAGCTGAGGAAGGAATTAGAGGTCAATGGCGTTGACTTTAAGGGGTTTAGTGCTGTGTTTGGTTGTGGTTTTAGTATCACTAGTATGTAGAATTCAAGGAGAGGAAGAATATGTGATTACTTTGGATCATTCCAACTTCACTGATATTGTTTCCAAACATGACTTTATTTTTGTCGAGTTTTATGCCCCTGGGTATGTTTTTTCAACTATCTTATTTACGTTATCTACCGTCTCCGTCTCTATCAACTTTTTTGTGTGTGAGACAATTACCATCTAAACAAGAAAATTTTTTAGAAACGAAGAGAGAATATGCTATGATTTTAGAATATAATATAGTAGTAATGATTAATGACTGATGCATGAATCTATATTACTCCATATTAAAGTCGCAAAAGGGATATTAACTATTTATACGGTATATATGTTAGATTTGAAATTGAAACTCGTCCACAAATATATTCTTTTATAGCTCTCTCCTTAAATCATAATCTCCTTTAATTCTGTTTTCAGGTGTGGGTTTTGCAAATCACTTGCTCCAGAGGTAATAACAAACTTAATTAATATTAATTATGGATTTGAAACATTTTTAATCTAATCATAACTCCTTAATCAATCCTCATAATATGATCTTAATTTTGTTGTTTTACAGTATGAGAAAGCTGCTTCTATACTAAAGAAGCATGACCCTCCGGTCACCCTAGCGAAAATCGACACGTATGAAGTTGTAAACAAGCCCATTGCTAGGCAATACAGAGTTAGTGGTTACCCAACCCTTAAAATTTTTAAAGATGGAGGCAAAATTGTACAAGATGAATACAAAGGACCGCGAAAAGCAGAAGATTTAGTTAAGTATGTGAAGAAACAGATTGGTCCTGCATCTGTTGAGATTACATCAGTTGATGATGCTACTACTGTCATTGATCAAACCAGGAGTTTCATTGTTAGTACACTTCTTTAATTATGTTATTTTAATTAAGATTGATTATTCGTGTTTATTATACGTGACATATATGTGTACAAAATTATAACATAATGTTCAAATGTTCATGTACAGGTAGGGGTGTTCCCTGAATTTTCAGGGGAAGAATATGAAAATTTTACCAAATTAGCTGAAAATTTGAGAAGTGATTATGAATTTGTTCATACATTGGATGCTAAGGTTCTTCCTAGAGGCCATTTGTCAGTCAAAGGACCGATGATTAGATTGCTTAAGCCATTTGATGAACTCTTTGCTGATTTTGAGGTAATTGTGAGTGTTGAGAGATTATATTTTGTTAATTTGATATTTTTCTAGTTAATTTTGTAAATGGTTGTGTTAAAAGTATAATTACAAATTATTGATCATATTATAATTTTACTACATGTTTAATAGGATTTTGATTTGAGTGCCATGGAGAAGTTCATTGTAATAGAAGATAACCCTTCAGTCACTGTGTTTAACATGGATGAACCCGGAAATCCCTACATTGGTAGATTCTTCTCCGAAAGAAATCTGAATACCAAGGTACTTAAGGCCGGCCTCTTATATATTACTTGTATTGACGCGTATTCCCTCTGTTTGAGACTAATTGTGACATTGATAGTGTAATTGTTACATTTTTATCAACGAAATTAATTTCATATGGAGTCACCTAAGTAATACCCAATCTTTGTTATATATTTTGGCAGGTTACAATGATTTTGAACTTTGCTAATGATAATGCTGCCGCACTTAAGTCCAAATTTTATGATATTGCTCAGCTACTCAAAGGTGGCAAAATAAGCTTCTTATTGAGTGAACTTGAGTCTAACAATGAACGTCTTCTTAAGGTTAGAAGGTTACAAATCTTACAATCCATCGCAAAGCTTATATAATTTCAAAATCTACTTCAGAGTTAAATGTGACCTAATATTTAGAGACGGGAGATTTATTCTGTATGAATACTATTTTAATCTAAGATTTTTTTTTTTCTGTTATGTTTTGGACGATCTAGTTTTTCAAGCTCCACGAATCTCAAATTCCTCTCATCTATATACAAGGAAAAGGTGATAAAAAATATCTCAAAGCAAATGTTGAACCTGATCAAGTTGTGCCTTGGTTCAAGAAATTCCTGGTTGGATTCTTGTCATCTAAACATTTATTTGTTTATTTTTCAATTTATTTATTTATCGAATTTTGTTAATAATTTCGAAAATAATTTAATTTAATGCTTATATATAGAATGGCAAGATAAAAGAAGACGTAAAATCACAACCTATTCCTCAAGAAAACAATGAACCTGTGAAGGTGGTGGTTTATAAGAACTTCAAAGATATGGTTTTCAATTCTGGGAAGGAAGGTACAAATTAAATTTTGCTGAATGTTATAATTATTACTCCGAAGTTATTTTAATTAAGAGTTTAGATATTTTTTTTATGTCAACTTTGTGTCCATCAACAATAATCGACCATCTTTAATGTCAATACCATATATCTACATCATCATTGCCGGTGTATATAATTTCATTTAACTAAGGGAAAACGACCCTCATACATGCTTTTGAGAGGAAATTAAAATATCGAGTTTGTGAAATTAATTATATTAATTTAACCACGTGCACAATTGTTGATCCATGTATTACAGTTTTGCTAGAGTTCTATGCACCTTGGTGTGGCCATTGTAAGAAGCTTGCCCCAATCTTGGATGAAGTTGCTCTCTCATACCAAAATGATCCAAATGTTTTAATTGCAAAATTTGTAAGTTTTAATTTATTTTAAACCACTCAAACTTCAAATACTAGGTATGAATCTAGCTGTAACATAACTATGTTACAAAACACTAAAATAAATGCATTATTTATCGATCAGGATGCAACTGCAAATGATATCCCAAGTGACAAGTTCGTCAAGGTTTCAAGCTACCCAACCATGTACTTCATATCATCAAACAAGGAGATAATCAAGTACAATGAAGGTAGAACGAAAGAAGACATTATAAATTTCATTCAGAAACATAGGCATGACGCGAAAGACAAGGATGAACAAGATTCATTTAAGGATGAATTGTGAAAAAACAATTAGCTTGATAAAAAAATTATTTCAAGAATGATTTGATCTTCCAAATAGACCAATTTTCAAGGGGATCATCATCAATTGTTCTAATTTCTCTGTACTTGTGGACTTTGTAGTTCTGATGTTGACGGACAAAATGTCTAATGTTTAATTTTGTTTATATATTACCCCGTAGTCATTTGATCTTGCTTTTTCAATCAAGCATCAATAAAAATTACATGTTTTCATATCGTATTTTCAGGAGTATTCAAAATTTATGTCACACTAAATCTCATTGTAGCCAAACACAGTTTCTTAAGTATATAAACCTCAATTTAAATCAAACTGACAACTTACAAATTAAATAAAGATAATTTGACCTAGTTGAGTCCAAAAAATTCCACTATTAATGGATACACTTGTTAACGACATGTGCTAGCTTTTCCAAATGATAGTTTTATTTGACTTAGCTTAGTCTTCTTTTTTTAACTAATTTTCTCAATCCAATTTAATACACTATTACTTTATATACTGACAAAATTAAGATCAATATTAATTTGTACTTTGTATATATGAACTTGGTGCCTAGAATTAGTACTACAATTTATTTAAATTTTAAGTGAATAATCATCAATTATCTATGTAAGGGTGCTTGACTTTGATTTGCGATCTATAATTTTCTTTTACTATCTCCTTTAAACATTAATTGCAACTTTGAGGTATTATTTGTTACATATAAACTAGTCCAAAGTTGTAACTATATTTAACGGATGTATTATATGGTTGAATATCTTGAAGGCATCACTTAGTCTTTATTTATGTCGAAAAATCCTCAAAGAATTGTTTTTTATTTACACTTGTTTCCCTTCTAAATTACCTTTCATGCATAACTACATACTTCTACACTTCTAAGTAAGAGCGGTTTGGATTAACTTATATTTCAGATAATATATCGTTCTTTTGAGTATAAGATAGATATTCAAATCGATACCTGATATCCAATATACAAAAATTAGATAGGATTATTGTTTTGCTCAATCCTATATATATCAACCATAAATCCATAATGTATACAACACATATCAAATTGAGTTCACACAATCAAACTAGCTAGGATCCTCAATCATGATTTCATGAACTAAAACACTTATAACTGTGATCATTATTATAGGATTATTAACTGAAATTAGATAATCAAACATGATAATGTGAGTAATTAAGGCAGATTCCCATCCACCAATAATTTATAGAAATAAACTACCACGATTCAATTATTTATACATTTAAATTTTCATATCTCACTATATTGAGGAAAATAGGATATATTTTCCAAAGATCTTAGGATATATTGGATAGCATATTTTTAGTAGTTAACAATATCTTTTGATACTTTCCTAAATCTATCTTGATTGGGATTGTGTTAGCTTGTATTATATATAGTGGTTTTCTGAGAAATAATACCCAAGATTTATGTTTCATTAATTCTACATGGTATAAGAGCCAGTTTTTTTTCTCAGAAAATTTCGCCATGGCCGGTGATGATACACCACCACCACCGCCACCACAAAAAATAGAAACCAATTCACCATTCTATCTAGGGGCACATGATAGACCTGGTGACTTTATTACTCCCATTCGGTTAAAACTTGACAATTTTGATTCGTGGTCTCATGCAATCTTTGTTGCCCTTTCGTCTCGGAGGAAATTTGGGTTTTTGGATGGTACTATCACTGATTGTGTGCCGCCTGCAACCAAGGAGGATTGGGTTGTGGTGCACTGTATGCTCGTTTCATGGCTCATGAACACGATTGATCCGGAGGTAAAATCTTTGCTTTCTAATTATGATAATGCAAAACGCTTATGGGATGATTTACATGAAAGGTTTTGTGTGGTTAATGGTCCTCGTATTCAAAATTTAAAGGCCCAAATTAATAGGTGTGAACAATCTAAGAATATGACAATGGCTATTTATTTTGGGACATTGAAGGTCTTATGGGATGAACTTGCTAAACTTGAACCTTTAATTAATTGCAAATGTGGGAAGTGTACATGTAATGTGGGGAGGCAACATGAAAAGAGGCGTGAGGATGATAGACTTCAACAATTTTTATTAGGTCTTTGTTCCGAGTATTATGCTCAAACTAGGTCTAACATATTAGCACAAGACACACTGCCTACATTGAATAAGGCTTACCAACAGGTCTCTCAAGATGAACTTGTGAGGGGTCTTGATCGTATTCGAGAGGAACCAGTGCACGCAGCTGGCTTTGCTGTCCGTACTGGTCAAGCCCGTGGTCATGAGGTGTCTGACCGTAATGCTAGTGGCTTGGTGTGTGCAAAGTGCAAAAAGGGTGGACATGAGACTTCACGATGTTGGTCTGATAAAGTGTGTAATCATTGCAAGAAACGGGGACATATAGAGAGAAAGTGTTTTCAGTTACATGGCTATCCACCTAGCACGGGTGAAGGCAGCCAGGGGGGGCCACTCTCGGCTGGCCGTGGTCAAGGTTCGGTGCGTGCCAATGCAGTCTTGGGTTCGGGTGCACCGTCTAATGGTCAAGTATTCTCAAGCGAGCAATGGAAAGCAATCACGGGGTTGTTTGGTAATGTCAATGTGTCTGAAAATCGTTTGAGTGGTAAGTTTGATGTCACTTCATGGATTATTGATACCGGAGCTACTCACCATGTTACAGGAGATGATTCTTGGTTGTTTGATACACGAAATTTTGAGTGTCCCGTTGGTTTACCTAACGGGGACACAATGTTAGCCTCTTTGATTGGTTCCGTTCGTTTATCGGATCAGCTTACCCTCACCGGGGTGCTTTTTGTCCCTTATTTGAGTTGTAATTTGCTTTCCGTATCTCAACTTGCTGATGAGCTTAATTGTACTGTCCAATTTAACTCTTATATGTGTGCTATACAGGACCAAGCGAAGGAGCTGATTGAAACGGGAGCTAGGAGGGACGGACTATATTATTTTAGCAAATCGGACTTGGTGCATCATGTTGGCGTTATTGGAACAACATCAAACTTAGAGTTGTGGCATCGTCGAATGGGGCATCCTTCCGAAAAAGTAGTTAAGTTGCTTCCTCATGTTAGTAGCAATAAAGATTGTTTAGTTAAGGGGTGTGAAGTATGTATGCGTGCTAAGCATCCTAGAAATAAATTTCCTCTAAGTGATAGTAGAGCTTCTAGGATTTTTGAGAAAATACATTGTGATTTGTGGGGTCCATATCGACACGTTTCGTCATGTGGAGATCGTTATTTTTTGACAATTGTTGATGATTATTCACGAGCAGCTTGGATTTATTTGTTGGTTGATAAAACTGAGGTATTACGCATGTTTTTTTCGTTTGTTGCAATGGTTGATAGACAATTTTCCCAAACAATTAAAATTGTGCAGAGTGACAATGGTACCGAATTTAATTGCTTGTTTGATTATTTTAGTACCACTGGAATAATTTTTCAAACATCATGTGTGGGAACTCCTCAACAAAATGGGAGGGTTGAGCGTAAACACAAACACATTCTTGAAGTTGGGAGAGCTTTGAGGTTTCAAGCAAAATTACCTATCTATTTTTGGGGGGAATGTGTTCTTGCTGCAGTTCATCTAATTAACCGTACTCCTACCCCATTGTTACAAAACAAAACTCCCTTTGAGATATTGTTTGATAAACCACCGTCTTTTGATGCCATTCGTATTTTTGGTTGTCTTTGTTTTGCTCATAACCAAAAGACTAAGGGTGACAAATTTGCGAGTCGCAGTAGAAAATGTGTTTTTGTGGGTTATCCTTTTGGCAAAAAAGGATGGAAATTATATGATCTTGAGTCCAAAGAGTTCTTTGTCTCACGAGACGTGAGGTTTGTAGAGGATGTTTTTCCTTATGGTACTCCGGAGGATGTGAATATTGTGTCCCATGATGACATCAATGGGGGGGTGGATGATGATTTTCTAGAGTATGAATTGTTGGATGATAATCAGGGGGATTTGAGTGTTGAAAATGCTGGGGAAATTACAGATTTGCAGGCAGCCACGAGCACAGAGCATGCTGCCCCTCACTCGCAGCCACCTGCGACCGCAGGAAATCCCGCGGCTGGGCAGAAGGTCCTGCCAGATTCTGCTCCAACCGCTGGAAATCCAGAGACCGCAGGAACAGTCGCAGAGCAGTCTACCGTGCCTCACACCAGCAGCTCCGAGCAGTCCCAGCTGGAGTCTACCGTCGCCTCTGAGCCGCCACAACCGGAGGTTTTGGGTCGGGGTTTACGTGACAAAATTCCATCAGTGAAGCTTCGAGATTATGTCACTCATTCCGTTTTTGCTAATAGTCCGTCTCAGTCCACTCCGTCCTCCAACACTCCTTCAGGTATCTCTTATCCTTTAGCACATTATATAAATTGTGACAAATTTTCTGCGAATTATCGTAAGTTTCTCGCAGCCATTGTTCATGACAAAGAACCGAAATCTTTCAAAGAAGCTATGAAGCATGAGGGTTGGAGGCAATCCATGAAAGAAGAGATAAACGCTTTAGAAGATAATGGCACATGGACTTTAGAGCACCTTCCTCCAGGCAAGAAAGCTTTAGGAAGTCAATGGGTGTACAAGACAAAATTTTTGTCTAATGGCCAAGTTGAGCGACTCAAGTCTCGTTTAGTTGTTTTCGGTAATCATCAGCAGGAAGGCATAGATTATGGAGAGACTTTTGCTCCTGTGGCTAAGATGACTACAATTCGAGCTTTTCTTGCAATTGCGGCTTCTAAAAATTGGGATCTTCATCAGATGGATGTTCACAATGCCTTCTTACATGGTGACCTTGATGAGGAGGTTTACATGAAATTGCCCCCTGGGTTTGAGAGTTATGATCCATCATTGGTGTGCCGTTTGAGGAAGTCATTGTATGTTGAAACAGGCTCCGCGATGTTGGTTTGCAAAGCTAACGACATCTTTGAAAGGGTATGGTTTTATTCAATCCTACTCTGACTACTCTCTTTTCACATACACTAGAGGCACAGTTCAGATTAATGTCTTGGTGTATGTAGATGATCTTATTATTTCTGGGAACGATTCCGCTGCATTGACTGTGTTTAAAGCTTATCTTGGTGACTGTTTTAAAATGAAGGACCTTGGTCCCTTGAAGTATTTTTTGGG